TTGACGTTTCATATTAATTAAAATTTATTTATTTAGGCTCTACAAGTGTCTGTTTGTATACTCCAAACGATTTCGATTTTAGCATACCACATGAAATCAAAGAGAATGAAGAAAAACTACAGATTCAAGATGAAAAACTTCCAATAAAATAGGATAATGTCAAAAAAGAAATGGTAACTACTTTATACTTTAAGATTTTTATTGTCGTTGATTTCATTTAATTTAAGAGTCTCAGTCTAAATATTAGAAATCCTGACGGTAATCATGGAATATTAATTGTGTTTGAGTTAGTTTCTAGCTTCTTCGAGTTCACGCATATATTTTTATTTTATTCAATTACATGTAATATTATCGTTATTGTAGTAATTTTACACTATATAAATGCTCTTTGAATTCTAAAATTTTGAATACTCATCATTGTAGTGAATGCGTTTTTTACCGGATACGGGATTACTACAAATAAGTGAAGTAAAAATGTACTCGTTGTCATTTGAATAGCATAAACTGTCTGTCTATTAAAAGAATGCGAGAAAATCAGTAGAATACGTATCATGCAAAAGGAGGTTTTGGAACAATTATAAGGCATTACATCTATAACAAAAGGTGGGATCTGGAGAAAATATAAATGTCAAAATATATGCGTTATCGTTATAGAATCACATTAAGGGGTGAAAAAATGTAATTTTTTTTTAATTTGTTAGCATCACGATAGAAAAACAAATTATAATTTTTTCACTGCGAAAAATAATTTAAAATGAATAAATATATTGCAAAATCCAACAACAAAAAAGGCGATTCAATTGTCGAAGAAATAATTATCTTCTTTGATAAATCGATTCATTCTTCTCAAGATTTAATGAAATACGAATAATTATTGAATTAGCAGAAAGTGCACTTGAATGGAAAAGCTACTTGCAAATCTTAGAATCGAAAATTTCATATAAATTCATGTGCGGTTTTTTGCATCATTTTGGGATAAAAGTTGAACAGAATTTTGAAATTGCTTTTAAATTTATAAAAAAATCAGCAAAGAAAAATAATGCGATTGCCCAATATTTTGCTACTACAATAGAATTGGTACACTTAGCAATAAAAGCAAAGCCTTTGAGTGGTATTTAAAATCTGCAGAGGGTGAAGATACTAAAGGACAATGTGAAATTGGTTTCTGTTATCAAAATGGTATTGGAACACAAACAGATCACAAAAAAGCTTTTGAGTGTATTGATAGTCAAGGGTAGTTAACAAATACATGTACCGATATGTATTTTAAATACTTATCGGATATGAGTTTATTAATAAATAGAAACCGGTGAGCTCTTCTATTAATGATGTACATGCATATTCTTTTCGGAATATTTCGCTAACTCTTTGTTAATATAAAATTATCTGAATATCTTCAAATAGCTGCCTACTTTAAATATTGAATCAATTTACCAAAAAATTTTCGAAAAGTTGAAAATAAAAAAACGAATCAGTTAGCAATTCAACGTCATTCTTCATTTATTTACTATGAAAGATGTTATTTATAATCCATAACTCGATAAATATATGTATTTTCTAAATTAAGCAAATAGATAAGAACCTACTGTTCTTTATATTATTAATAGTAACTTTATCTCGGTGTGTAATAGAAATTGAAATTTTAATTAATTAAAGATTGTTTGTGTAAAGCTGTTCTTTGAGTATTTTGTATTGTTCAAATTTCCTTTTAATTCGTCAATTTCATCTTCCAACACTGCAACTCTTTGCTGAAATTCTTCCTTTAGACGATAACTTTCACGTTGCAATTGTTTGTTTTCTTGTATTATGTCAAAAGATTCTTTCTGAAGTTGTACAATGTATTCTATTGATTCATGATGTTTTCTAATTTCTTTTTTTAGATATTTTGCGCATTCTGTTGGGAAATTTAAAATCGCACGCCATTGTTGGCATACATCTCTAGAGTTGAGAAGCGATTCGATTGGTAAAAAAGAAAAAATATGGATTACTAGTTCAGGCGTGGATAAAACTCGATTTGCAGGTAAAATATATTTGGATTTAGCAGTGTGGTTTGTGGTTTTAAGCATATTTTAGGTTATTATTTAAAGAATTAAATGTTCTTATGCTTTTGAGTAGACACCAACATGCAAATATATATATATCTTTTTATGTAATGATGCTTTAAAAATGATTCATTAGTCAATCAATCAACATTATTGATCTTTATGGATCAAAATATTCTCTTTCTATCTGAAAAAACAATGACTGATAGTTATCTATACAGCTTCAATTTATTTACATTTGTCCTACATGTTTTTGATTTATCTTACCGTTCATACAAAAATGATTTTAATGCAGGATATACATGTATTTATCGAGACATTTTTGTATAACGATAACGATAATGATAATCAAAACGTGTAGGACAAATGTGAAGGTAAATTGAAGCTGTATAGATAAATATCAGTCATGTGTTTACATAGGGTTTATAATACTCAAAATATGTACTAAGCGCTTTTTTTTAATAATAATATTACCAGATATTAAATTATATAATTATCGCTATAGAGTTTAAATGGTTAAGCTACATAAGCAACTTGTGAGCTAAAATATTTATGTGCGAGAAGTAAATATCAAGCAAACGAATAATATCCAACCCAAATGTACAGCTGTTGTCAACTTGAATTTCTCATAAAAAAAGCGTCCGTTTTACAATGTTCAATAGAGCTCATAGCATTTCCATTATTAAATTGTCAAGCATTTATTTTAATTTTTGCTAGTTTAATATCATTTTCAATGTCAATATTCTCTTTTTCAAGCAAATACAAAGATGAAAGACCAAATATTCAACTTATAAACAATTTTGGTAGAAAATAATTTAAATACTTCAACTTTTATTATTATTATTTAATTTGCTTTTCCAATTAGTAAACAAATCTATAATAATATTCTATTCTTTAAATTATTAACTAATCAATATATAGTGCTCATTAATAGTAACATATTTCCTATAACTTTCTATAGATTTTGTATAATATATTAAAATTTTCTAAATATAAAGAATATTACAAATGCTAATTATTGATATCTTTTATAAATTGATAAAACATTTATATTAAGTATTGTTATCACTGGTAAACAAATTTCTCTGATTCCAGCTTTTCAGAATAAAATACATTAATACCAGATAAATATATTTATAATATTGCTAATTTGATAGATTTTTCAGCAAAAGCAACAAATTCTTATTATAATTATTAACAAAGCTACAAAGTTCAAACTAGTAGATTTTTTAGTATTATTATAGCAAATTTCTATTATAATTATTAATAATATTAATATAAATTTTATAGCAAAATAATAGTATAACATTATAAATTCTCTTAATATACAAATAAAAATAATAAGTTTCTCTTTTTGATATATAGTACAAAAATATAATCTTCTTTATATCTGTTTTTGTCAAAATATAGTATTTATTATTAATTTTTAGCACCTTTTTCAATATTTGTTATCATTTTTTGATATCTTTTAGTATCTTCTTATTATCTTTTAGTATCTTCTCATTATTTTTAGCATTTTTTATTATTCTTTAGCATATTTTTATTAGTTTTCAATTTATCTTATATTAATTTTTTTTATAGATATTAAAATATTTAATATAAATATTTTTATTAATAGTTAAAATAATATTAAAAATAATAAATATTATAATACAAAAAAATATAAAAAGAATAATTTACAAATTACTAATAAAAAATAAAATTTATATTATATATAATTATTTTTCAAGTAAAATTAAACTTGAATTCTTGTATATAATTATTTTTTTAAATAAATTATTACTTGTAAAACTTTTTTTCTTTCTCTTATATTATTCATTATATTTTTATTAATTATATTCTTTATATCAAAAAAAATATTAATTTTATAAAATTATATTATCATATTATTATTAAGAAATTATTTTTTGTAAATATTATTATTATTTAAAAATTTAAAATTTTTATCTAAAAAAAAGCAATAATTATTAATAATATTTCTAAAAGTTTAAAATTTTTATCTATAAAAATTAATAATATAGAAAATTTTTTAATACTTATTTAAAATATATAAATTTCTCTTCAAATTAATATATTTAATAATATCTGTAAATATTAATACAAGCTCTAAATATTAAAATAAATTTTGCTTAGTTTATCAATTTCTTTTAAAAGTTTTATTACAATATAAAACTTCCAATTTATTCAAACAAAATAAAACTATAATAATATTATATATTTATATTTAATATATATATAATTAGTTATTTTATTATATATATTTTAATATAATTTTTAATATTTAGTAATTTAATTTGAACAAAAATATAACTATTTGATTTATTTAGTTAAAATTAATTGAATAATATTTTTATTCAAATTAAATTATTAGTTATAAAAATATTATATCTTAAAGTAACAAATTTATTTTTTAAAGTTAATAAAAATTAATTTAGAATAAAATATTTTAATTTTCAGTAATTTAATTAAAACAAAAAAATATATTTGATTAATTTAACTAAAAAAATTAAATAATATTATTTTTATTTAAATTAAATTATTAAAAATAAAATATTATATTTTAAAATAATTAATTCGTTTTTTGATAATTAATTTCTAAGAAAAATTAATCAATAAATATAAATTAATTACAGTATCTTAATATTTAATAATTTAATTAAATAAAAATACTATTATTTAATTTTTTTAATTTAGACAAATCAAATAATAATATTTTTATTCAAATCAAATTACTAAATATATATTTTTATTATAAAAAATATAGTAAATATAGTAAAATTAATATTATTTCTTTATATAAATTTGTTATTTTATTAATAAATATTTTTGATTTTTATACTAAAATAAAAATAATAATCTATATTTTGATATATATTTTTTTAGAATGATATATATTAAAAATATAAGTTATTATCTTTATTTTAGTATAAAAATAAAAAATAGTTTTTAATAAAATAACAAATTTAATATAAAGAAATAATGTTAATTTTATAATAATTATTATAATTTTTTTAATTTTCAGTAATATAATATAGAAGTATATATTTAATAATTATATTTTAAAATAAATAATTATTATATTTAAATATGAAAGTTTATAAATATATAATATGCAATATAAAAATTTAATTATTTATAAAAAAAGAATTAATAATTAGTATTTGTAATATTTATTATAATTACAAATTTAATATATTATTTATTTTATGGAAAATTATGAAAATATATTATTTTTAACAAGAATTATAATATAATTTTATTGAATTATAAATTAATTTATATTTATAATTATTTATTATGACAAATTAAAATAAAATCAAATTATAAAAAAATCAAATTAAAATAAAATTTGGTTCTTTTTTATAAAATAAAATTTTTAAAGAATTAAAATTAAATATAATATTAAAATTTGTAATATATTAATTTATAATTATTTAATATTTTAATTTATTTAATTTTAATATAATTTTATTAATAATTATAATTGAAATTTAAATTATTATTCATTTAATTTCTTGTTTAATTTATAAATAAATATTTATTAATTATTGTTTATAAATAATTTAAAATATTAATTATTTATTTTATATAATATATTTTTTATATAAAAATAATTATTTAGTTATTATAAAATATAATTAACTATAACAAAAAGTTAATTATTTAATATATAATAATATTATAGTTTTATTTTGTTTGAATAAATTGGAAGTTTTATATTGTAATAAAACTTTTAAAAGAAATTGAT